GCTTCTGGAAGTTGGTGCCGTAATCCACGTCGGACTCGGCGTAGTAGAGGTTGAAGGTCTCCTTGCAGGAGCCGCCGCCGGCCATGGGGAAGCTGTTGCAGTCGCGCACGGTGAACTGCAGCTCGATGAAGATGCGCTGGGCCACGCCGCGGTAGATCCAGTTGGTGCGGAGCCAGTTCTCCTGCTCGCCCTCCATGACGTTGCACACGGAGTACATGTAGATCAGGGAGTCGTTGAGGACGTTCTGCAGCTGGTCCCACTGTTCCCAGAGACAGAAGCGCAGCTATGGGGGGGAACTGAGGCACTGTCCCCAGGGATGGGCTCGTCCTCATCTTGTTCCCCCTGTCCCCATCCCCGTGGAGGTCCCCAGACACATCCCAGAGGTCTCCAACCCCAAGGATGTCCCCACATCCATCCCCATGGGTGTTCCTGATCTCATGGAAGGCCCCAGCCCGATTCCAGTGGAGGTCTCCATCCTCATGGGTATCCCTGTCCCCATGCCCATAGAGATCCACATGACTGTGGGATGTTCCTGTGGAGGTCCCTCCCTGTGGGTGCTCCTGTCCCCATTCCCATGGACACTTCCAGGCACATCCCCATGGAGGTCCCCATTCTCCATCCCCATTCCTGTGAAGGTCCCCAAAGATGTCCTTGTCCCCATCCCCATGGAGCTCCCCCATGGCTGTCCCCATTCTCCATCCCCATTCCTGTGAAGGTTCCCCAAAGATGTCCTTGTCCCCATCCCCATGGAGCTCCCCCATGGCTGTCCCCATTCTCCATCCCCATTCCTGTGAAGGTTCCCCAAAGATGTCCTTGTCCCCATCCCCATGGAGCTCCCCCATGGCTGTCCCCATTCCCCATCCCGGACCCACGGGTGCTCACCCCTTTTCCGTAGGGATGGGTGAGCCAGCCCAGCTCCCCGTGTGCCTTGGCGAAGTCCAGCAGCACCACTGTGGGAGAGAAGAGAGGACAGGCATGTCAGCAGATGCCACCAGGACCTGCAGGTGCCACCAATACACCCCTCTGGCCCTTGGATGTCTGTCCCCAGGACCCACAGACAACCCCATGGAAGTCCCCAGGATGTGCAAACACTCCTGGGACCCACAGATGTCCTAAAATTCATGAATGTCATGGGCACCCACAGATGCCATCAGGACCCAAGGATATCCCTGGGAGCTGCGTGTCCATGCCCGGATATCCCACCAGGAAACCCCTGGATGTCCTGGGCACACAAATATCCCTGGAACCCACAGATGCCAGGAGGTTCCATGGATCTCCTCAAGACTCCTGGATGTGCAAACACTCCTGAGACCCACAGATGTCCTTAAAATTCATGAATGTCATGGGCATCCACAGATATCCCTGGAACGTGCGTGTCCATGCCTGGATATCCCACCAGGAAACCCCTGGATGTCCTGGGCACACAAATATCCCTGCCAGGAGGTTCCATGGATCTCCTCAAGACTCCTGGATACCCCCAGGACCCACCCAATCCCACAGATGTCTCCAGGACCTCCAAACAGTCCCAGACCCCAGCGGTGTCCCTGGATCCCCCGTTCCCGGCGGATTCCGCCGTTCGGAGCCCCCGGGGCCGGGGCAGAGGCGGGGAAGCCGCGGGGCCCGGCGGGACCTGCCCCGGCACGCCGAGGGCGGCGGCCGCATCCAGCGCCGGGAGAGGAAGAGGAGGAAGAAGAGGAGGCCGGGGAGGGAGCGGGGCCCCCCGGTGAATCACCCCCCAGGAATGTGCCCGGACGCCCGGGATCAGCGGCGAGATGGGCGATGTCGGGACGGATGGACCCCCCAGCTCATGGGGACGGGCTCGTGGGGTGTCCCGGGAGAGACCCCAAAACCTGCTTGGGGGGAACCCCAAAAGCTGCCTGGGGGGGACGCGGGTGGCTGCAGCGTCCCCCCCGCGCCGTGCCAGGGGTCAGGAAGGATGCCGGGGCGGATATCCCGGTTTTCCTGAGGCTGGAAATCCCCCCCGCGAACCTCCGGAGAGCGGAAAGCTGCCGGAGCCAGAGCCGGAGCGGGCGGGGGTTCCCTGCCGGTGCCCCCGGGGGTGGCTCTGGGGACAGTCCCGGGGCTGCAGCCGCGTCCCGGGAGTCACCTGTACCCACCACCACCATCATCATCATCGTCATCAAATTCTCCGCCGCTTTCGCCACCCGCACCTCCGGTGCCACCGTGATGTGGCCACCAACCCCATCACCACCGCCGCGCTCCGGAGCGGCTCCCCCGTCCCAAATCCCAATCCCATTCCGGCTGCCTCGTTGTCCCTGTGCCCTGCCCTAACCCCATCCCGATCCCAATCTTTGAATCGGAATCCGAATCCCATCCCGTTCCCAAAGTGAACCCCCCCAATCCCATTCCTGTCCCCATCCCAGTCTCATCCCCATCTCAACTTTAACGAGAATCCCAATCCCAAAATGAATCCTACCCCCTCTCCATCCTCATCTCCTCTTTAATCTCAATCTGAACCCCAAAATTGATCCCATCCCAGTCCCAATCTCACTCCATTCCCTCCTCTTTAACCGCCTCCCCACCTCAGCTCGCCCCAAATCCCACTGGATCTCACCGAGGGGAACCAATCCCCCCGAAATCCCCAAATCCCACCACTCTCCCACCACTTTCCCTTTCCCCCCACGCACTTTTAAAACCTCAAATCCCAACATTCCCTCCTGGGAAACAGCACTTTGGGAACACACCCCAAATCCCACAGCTGCCACAGGGTCACTCCCTCTGCTGTCCCCCCAGAACTTCCAAAAATCCTCCTTTTAGGGTTTTTTACCCCGTTTTTAGTTTTCAGGCAGTCTTTTCCATCCCAACCTCTAATTTATTTGCATTTGGGGATGGATTCTTCCACTTTACCCTCGAAAAGTGACGGATTAAAGCCGTCAAACAGAGTTTACAGAAACTCAATTCTAAAAAAAATTCCAGGTATACACGAAAAAGTGAATTTCCCCCTTTTCTTTTGCCCAACCCTCCCAAACTAAGCCCCAAAATCACTGGAGGAAGGGTTGAGAGGTGGAGGCCGAGACGCTGCTTGTTTGTTCCCAGCAATTTTTTGGGATTTTCCTGACATTGTTTTCCAGCTCTCTGGCCGGATCCTACCCGACTCTGCACCACCCAAGGGAAACGCTCCATTTTAAGGTGATTTTCCCCTTTTTTGGGGTTTATTTTTTAATCCCCCCCACCTTCACCTCTCTGCCAGCCTCTTTTGGGGGCTCCTGGCAGGACCCGGCCCCGATGCATTGGTTGGACGCTCGGCATGAGAAAAGTAGCCCCAAACTCTTGGGTTTCCCCTCATTTTAGCTTTTTTTCTCCTCATTTAAATTTCTTTCTCCTCTATTCTAGTTGTCCCCCCATTTTAGCTAGAACCCCCGTATTTTTACCCCCCCATACACCTTTTTAACTCCCCCCCCTTTAACTTTTCCCCCTTAATTTAACTTTTCCCCTCTTAATTTAAACTTCTCCGCCCTCATGTCAACTTTTCCCCTAATTTTAACCTTTTTCCCCCCAAAACGCGCTCCGGCACCTGCGGCTTCCCCACCGCACCCCAAACTGGTGTGGGGGAAGGAAGAACCCACATCACCTCAGAGCGCTCCCGGACTCCTCAGCTCCCCCCAAACCACCCGAATTTACCCCAAAACCACCCCACCCTTGGGGGCGCCCTCAATAAATGAGTTTTGGGATGCTGCCCCCCTAAAAAATAATAAATAAAAAGTGGTGGACTCACCTTCCTCGGCGGCCAGGGGGCTGAGGGCGGTGAGGAGGAGGAGGGTGAGGGCCGGGGGGGTGTCGGCCATGGCGGGGCGGTTTTGGGGGGTCCCACGAGCGGCGGCCCCGCGGGGACTGTGGGGGGTGTGGGGTGCGGGGCCGCGCGCCCGCTCCTGTTCATTCATGCCCCGCTGACGTCACCGGCCACGCCTTCTCTTAAAGGCGCAGCAGCCGCTCCCAGTACGCACCAGTACGGAACTGGGAGGGCGCGAGCGGCAGGGTGGGACGCGGGGGTTGGAGCGCTCTCAAGGTGGGGAACGGCTCTGGAGGGGGTTCGGGGGTCGCGAAGCCCCGTGGAGACCCCCCGGGCTCGGTCTCGAAGGGGTGAACGAGCCCCCCCCTCCCGCCCCCTCCCCTTTCATTCATGAATCGGCGTGGGAAGGGCGGGGGGCGGCAGCCAATGGCCGCAGGGGGCGGGGCCACGCGGTTACTACCGGCCACGCCCCCCGCCCACCGGTTCGGTACTGGGGGTTTGGGGGCGTCCGGTTTGGGGGGGCTGCCCGGCCTCCTCGGGCCCCAAATCCTCAGCACCACCGTCCTCATGATCCCGCAGCACCCCAAATCCCATCACCCACAGCACCCTAAATACCACAGCACCCCAAATCCCATCACCCACAGCACCCCAAATCCCGCAGCACCCCAAATCCCACAGCACCCCAAATCCTGCATCACCCACAGCAGCCCAAATCCCACAGCACCCCAAATCCCATAACCCACAGCACCCTAAATCCCACAGCAGCCCAAATCCTGTATCACCCACAGCACCCCAAATCCCACAGCACCCCAAATCCCATCACCCACAGCACCCCAAATCCCATCACCCACAGCACCCGAAATCCTGTATCACCCACAGCACCCTAAATCCCACAGTACCCCAAATCCTGTATCACCCACAGCACCCCAAATCCCATCACCCACAGCACCCCAAATCCCACAGCAGCCGAAATCCTGTACCACCCACAGCACCCCAAATCCCGCAGCACCCTACATCCTGCATCACCCACAGCACCCCAAATCCCACAGCACCCCAAATCCCATCACCCACAGCACCCCATTCCACGATCCCATTGAAACCCAAACCCCCAGGATCTGCAGCACCCCAAATCCTGCAGCACCCACCTCCTGATAATCCCATTGCACCCCACATCCCCCCCAAATCTTCATCACCCCAAATCCCTGATACCCGTGACCCCCAAATCGGACAAATCGTGCCACCCATGATCTTTTTCATAGAAAACCAGTGATTTTAACAAAAAAACACCTTTATCCCTCCCACGCCCACAACCCCCCCACAAGAGGGGGTTCATGTGGGGGTGTCCCCCGTGTCCCCCGGGGTGACACCGGCTGTCACTTGGTCGCGCCGCCAGAGCTGCTCGACCAGAGCGTCCAGGACAGGGGCGACCCGGGCCAGCCCCGCCCGAGCCCCGCTGGTCCCCGCGGTGCCCCCGGCCCGCAGCACCCGCAGCCCCTGCGACCCCTCGAAGGTCCTCACGTCCTCCTCTGTCACCGCCGTGTGTGCCACCAAGTCGAATCTGGGGTGGGGAGGGGACGCAGGGTCAAGGGAAAACAGCAACGCCCTGAAAAATCCCCCAAAAACACCCGAAATTCATCGGGAGTTGCGAACCCGATGTGTGGGAGTGTTCTCTGCCTGCCCAGGGACTGAGTGGTTGGGAATCTGGGGGTGCAAACCTGACTGTGGGGGGGACACAGGGCCAAGGGAGACCCAGAAAATCTCCCCAAATCCCCCTGAAAATAAGTGGGAGCTGTGACCCAAAGAAATCCCCCCAAACCCCCTAAAAAATCAATGGGAGTTGAGGACCCATCAGTGTATTCACATTCTCAGCCTAATGAGGTATTGAGTGGTCTGAAATCTGGGGGTGCAAACCTGACTGGGTAGGGACACAGGGCCAAGGGAGACCCAGAAAATCCCCCCAAACCCCCTAAAAAATCAATGGGAGTTGAGGACTCATCTGTGTATTTACATTCTCAGCCTAACGAGGTATTGAGTGGTTTGAAATCTGGGGGTACAAACCTGATTGTGGGGGGCACATGGGGTCCAAGGAGACACCAACACCCCGAAAAATCCCCCTAAAAATACCTAAAGAGAAATGGGGAATGTGAATCTATTGGTGCAATGAAGTGTTACATGTTCTCGGCCTGCTGAGAAAGTTGGGGGTGCAAACCTGACTGTGGGGGGACACAGGGCCAAGGGAGACCCAGAAAATCCCCCCAAACCCCCTAAAAATCAATGGGAGTTGAGGACTCATCTGTGTATTTACATTCTCAGCCTAATGAGGTATTGAGTGGTCTGAAATCTGGGGGTGCAAACCTGACTGGGTGGGGACACAGGGTCAAGGGAGACACCAACACCCTGAAAATTTCCTTTAGGGCAGCAAAACCCCCCTAAAAATAAGCAGGAGCTGTGAACCCACCATGTGTAAATCATTACACCACCAGGTGTAATGATTTGTGCACATTCTCAGCCTGCTGAGATACCAAATGCTGAGAAATCTGGGGGTGCAAACCCATTTTGGGATGGAGAGGGGGGTCAAGGAACATCTAAAAAACCCCCAAACCCCAATAAAATCAGCAGGTGTTGGGAATACATCGATGCAATGAGGTGTGCATGTTCTCAGTGCCTGTGATGCCAAGCTCTGAGAGCCCCGAGGGTGCAATTCCCCCGCCATGGGGTGACTTTTGGGGACCCCCCCAAAAGGATACTTGGTGCCCACGACCACCCTGACGAGGTGGGGGTCCCCGGGGTCCAGCACACGGCCCATCAGCGCTGGCAGCTCCTCGAAGGACACACGGTCCGTGAAGGAGAACAGGAACAGGGCGGCATCCGCCTCCTCCTTACAGGCCTGGGCGGGTGACACCCCTCAGCGCGCGGTCCTGGGGGTGTCCCCCTCCCCAAAATTCATCCCCCACCCCAAAACGTGTCCCCCACTCACGGGCAGCAGGTGCTCGAACTTCCGCAGCGCTCCGTCCCCGCAGTCCCAGAGGTGCAGCTGGAACAGAACCGGGCGGCCGCTGCAGCAGGGCTTGGCCGGCCAGAACAGCGTGGTGACCTCGATACCTGTGGGGACAAAGGGACTGTCACCCCCGAGTCCCCCTGGGGTTGTACCCAGGGACTCGTGGTGGCCTCGATGCCTGCGGGGACGGCAGGACTGTCACCCCTGGGTCCCTCTGGCTGTACCCAGGGACTCGTGGTGTCCTCAATGCCTGCGGGGACAGCGGGACTGTCACCCCGGGTCACCCCCGGGTCCCCCCGGCCATACCCAGGGACTTGGGGTGGCCTCAATGCCTGCGGGGACAGCAGGACTGTCACCCCCGGGTCCCCCTTGGGTCGTACCCAGGGACTCATGGTGGCCGAGGTGGCCTCGATGCTTGCGGGGACAGCAGGACTGTCACCCCTGGGTCCCCTCGGCTGTACCCAGGGTCTCGAGGTGGCCTCAATGCCTGCGGGGACAGCGGGACTGTCACCCCCGGGTCCCCCTGGGGTTGTACCCAGGGACTCATGGTGGCCTCGATGCCTATAGGGACACTGGGACTGTCACCCCTGGGTCCCCCTGGGGTCGTACCCAGGGACTTATGGTGGCCGAGGTGGCCTCGATGCTTGCGGGGACAGCAGGACTGTCACCCCCGGGTCCCCCTGGGGTCGTACCCAGGGACTCGTGGTGGCCTCGATACCTGTGGGGACACCGGGACTGTCACCCCCGGGTCCCCAAGGCCGTACCCAGGGACTCGTGGTGGCCTCGATACCTGTGGGGACACCGGGACTGTCACCCCCGGGTCCCCAAGGCCGTACCCAGGGTCTCGTGGTGGGCGGGGGGCGCGGGGGTCCCCCCCAGCCAGGCCACCAGCGCTGTCTTGCCGACGCCGCTCCTGCCCGCCAGGAAGAGTTTGTAGGTGACCGTGGGGACAGCCAGCGCGGGTGGCAGCGCGGGGCGCTCCAGCAGACCTGGGGAGGGGCTCGGGGTCACTGGGGGGCTGAGAGCCCGGCTGGGGGGCGCAGGGGGGACACGCACCGAATGCTCTCCGCTGGTTCTTGTGCACGATGGAGTCCAGGTAGGGGCGGCCGGCGGGGGACAGGAGCCAGCCCGGCTCCAGCGCCCAGTGCTGCTCTGCCATGGACCCGAACTGGGGCACAGCCAGGAGCCCCCTGTCCCCGTGGGGTCACGGCATCCCCTTCTGACTCACTCCCACCCTCCCCAGGGTGCCTAAATCCTCCATCAGGTCCATAAAACACCCCCAGCATCCTCCCATGGGGTCCCCAAAAGCACCGCGGGGGTCCCTGACGCCCCTCTGTGGGTGCCCCTGAAACCCCTCTGTGGGTGCCTCACCCCCTCCATGGGCTCTGTGCCCTCCCTATGGAGTCCCCACATCCCCCCACAGGATCCCTGACGCCTCTCAGGGGTCCCAAAGCCTCTCTGAGGTCCCTTTGCCCCTCCGCGGGGTCCCACCACCCTCCCATGGGCTCCCATGGGGGTCTCTGTGCCCCCCTGCCCCCCCAGGACCCCACCGCAGCCCCCCACCCCTGCGGTCCCTGCCCCCCTCAGGGTCCCTCACAGCCGCACACGCAGTCCCGCCACCCCTGCGGGGTGTGTGCTGTCCCTGTGTCCCCACAGCATTTCAAAGAGGGGGGACCCAGCCCCCTGTCGCTGCCCCCCAAATCCCCCCATGCCTCGCCCCTCACACCAATTTCCCTGCGCGGGCCCTTTAAGACGCGGCCCCGCCGCTCACCTGAGGCCGCTTCCGCCTCGCCGTGACGTCACGAAAAGGGGCGTGTCCAAACGGAGACCACGCCCAACAGCGCTGCGCGTGCGCAGTGGGTCGTGCGGGCACGTGGAGTGGGTGCGGATTTTGGGGGGTCCCCATCCCAAATTACTGACACGGGAATGACCTGGGGGTCTCCATCCCCAGTTCCCCAGCTTTGGGCTCCAGCATCCCCCACACTGGCAGGATTTGGAGTCACATTTCCAGCCGCAGCAGGCCCTAGGATACCCATCCCCAATTCCCATTCCAACAGGCTGTGGGATCCCCAGTTCCCAGCACTGGCAGGATTTGGAGTCCTCAAATCACAAATTTTCAGCCCCAACTGGCTTTGGGTCCTCTTTGTCAAATGTCCAGCCCCAACAACAGGTTTTGAGGTTCCCAGTTCCCAGCGCTGGGAAGCTTCGGCATTCCCAGTTACCATCTCCAGCAGTCTTTGGGATCCCCATTCCCAATTTCCATCCCTGACAGGGTTTGGTGTTCCCAGTGCTGAGATCCTTTGGATCCCTATCCCTGGCAGGACCTGGGATCCACAATTTCCAGCACAGGTAGGACCTGGGTTCCCTGCCCTGGCAGGTTTTGAGGTCCCCATCCCAAATAGGGTTTGGGATCCCTGAATTCCCAGCTCCAATAGACTTTGGGATCCCCAATTTCCAACCCCAATAGGCTTTGGGATCCCAAATTTCTGTCTCCAAGAGGCTTCAGTGTCCCCAGTTCCCCGTGTCCCCCTTTGCCTCCCTCCACTGCTCCAACATCCCCTGGCACAAGTATTTCCCTTCTTTTACCCCAAAAAGACCCCAAATCCCCCTTTCACCCCCAAACTTGTGGCAGCACAGCAGGAACTTCCTCTCCAGGTCACTCCCACCCCACCCCTCCCCAAAAGCACCAACCATCCATTTATTTTCCTTTTTATTTGTTAAACCACTAAAAATTCGTCGGGAAGGGGGGGGAGAGGGACCCCCATGAACCCCCCCAAAGTGTACACAAGATTTTAAATATCACCAGAATCGCTTCCCATTCCTGCGCTCGGCCCGGGAGTGGCGGGGGGACACCTGAGTCACGGGGGGTGGGGGGGACACCTCGCTCACAGCACCAGCAGCTCCCGCCGGATTCGGGGACAGGGACCCAAATTTGGGGTGAATTTCTCCGAAGGGCACAGTGGCGAATCACCCCGAGAGCGGGGCAGGATGTAAACTGGGAGAGCGGCCCTGGAGGACATCAAGGCGCCATCCATCCCCGGCTTTGACTCTTTTTTTGGGGACAAAAACATGCAAAAGGGGACGTGGGGATCGATGCCGAAGCCTCGACCGCCTTCCCCGCGTGGAGAAGGAAAATTCCACAGCTCACCCGAGGTGCTCCTGAGGTCTGGGGATTTTTTTGGGAGGGAAAAAAATCGCGTTTTTTGCTTTCCCTTAGGAGAAACCAACTGGTTGTGGGATGAACAGGACAGGTGGGATTCGACGAGGGATTTATTTACAGAGGTGGAAACGCCGCGGGTGATGCAAATCCCTCCTCGTCCCCACGCGGCTGGGATGGGATTTAAGGCTCCGACCGGCAAAAAGCTCAGTGGGAATGGAGAGCAAAAAATTCAGGGAAGAAGGGACCACGTCATGGCGCTGCCGGCTTGGGGAGGGCTCCCTGCTCTTAGGGTGCTGGAGGTGGTTGACCAAAACCTGGCGGAATCCGCCCCGTTTCCCCACCGTGGAGGGGACAGGGAAGGAGGGGGTTGTCCCAGAAGGACGCACAGGTTCAATCCCTTCGGATTTGGATTGAATCTTTGCGGAAGGAGGCACGTGCAAAGATGAGGTGAAGTTACTGCATGGAGGCTGCCCTCACATTTACCAGTAGCTGTCCTTTTCCCTGGAAAACCCACCCTGCTCCTGGGCTCCAAGGGGCTGCTTCGGCCTTGAACGGGGTTGGGCCGTTGAATGAATTAAATCTTTAAGTCTAGAAGGGAATTGGCAGCCAAATATCTCAGTTTTGGGGGAATAACAGGATTTTCAGAGTACTTTTGCCGGTCAGAGGGGATCAGGGCTGACCCTGAAGCCTGATCCAGCAGGGCAGGGAGAGGAGGGATGCTAACAATCAAGATTTTTGGCATTTTGACACAAAAAAATGTCCTTTCCTCCTTCTTTTGGTCCTGCCTGGAGGACAAGGGATGAGAGCAGCAGGTGAGAGGCAAAATAAAAAGGCATCGTGTTTGTGTCGAGCAAAGGTTGGCAGCACTGGGAGACTCCCAGAGGGATATTGCTGTTTTCCTGATGGAGTTGAGCATGGAATTAATCAAGCTAACAGCCTCCTGCCTGCTGCAATTTGGGTTATTCCTATAAAACCACTTCTACTCACAACCCACGAGGAGTTTAGAGAGACTGAGACTCGCAAACATGTGGAGAATGAACCCAGGAGGATCCTGGCTGGAGGAATTCCCTGGCTGCTCACCCCGAATCCTCGGATCCTTCCCCGCCTGTAAACACGACTCGCTCCCTGGGGTCTGACTGGGAACTGCCGGGGCAGCGCTGGAGGGTTTGCTTGGACTTTTATTGGTTTCCTGCTCCCTAATTCACAGTTTGAACGCCTGCGTGTCGGGAAGGGGAAGGAGGAGGGAGAGCCGCAGGGCCGGAGGGACGGGCGGCGGGCGGGGGCCGCATTATCTCTTTGCTCGCACAAAGTACAAGGCATTTGTTTTGGGGTAATATTTGACGTTTTGTTTCTTGTCCATCAGGCCACCGAATATGATCAGCTCCCCTCGGCCTTGCACCACCGTGTGTAAACTGGTCTCGGGCGGCCCCACCACGGAGCTGCTGTTGAACACTTTCCACTTGACTCGTCCCTGCTCCTTGGTGTCCTTAATGTCCAGCACGTACATCTGCATGGGCTTGCAGTTCATGCTCTGGTACAGCGGCTTGCCCACGTTCAGCGACTGCGGCGGGTGGTGCCCGAGGCGCCGGGCGATGGGGGGCAGCGAGTGCCCCTCGCCCTGGGTGACGCTCGGCCGCGCGGAGCCCGGCTCGGCGCCCGGGGACCCCGGGGACGAGGCCAGCGGAGGGCTCAGCGCGGCCGAGGCCGAGGCGGCTTTGGAGGAGAGGGCTTTGACGGCCTCGAGGCTGCGGCGGAGCGCGCCGGGGGACACGGCGCCGGGCAGGGCGGCGTGGGGCGGGGTGTGGATGCCGTTGGTGTGCTCCGGGGGGTTCCGCGTGCCCGCTGTCCTGCCCTCCGCGCCGTCCAGCTGGCACGGGAGGGACGTGGGCTTCTGCTCCCAGCCCAGCTCCGCCGAGGCCAGGCGCAGGTCCCGCTGCTCCGGCAGCGAGCCCCGGCGCGGCGCCAGGGCCGGCCCCACCTTGAGGTCGAATCCCTCGGCGGCCGAGGGGGTGCTGGGGGACAGGGCCTGCACGGGGCTGTCCAGGGAGGCTCCGGGTGACACCGTGCCGCCGTTGAGCACCGGGGAGCTGTCCCCTCTGGCCGGGGACAGGCTGCCCTCCCGCGAGCCCGACGGCGTCTGCCTGCGGGGCCGCAGGGTGCCCCAGCGGCCGTTGACGCAGGGAGCCTCGTCCGTGTTCCTGACGGGAGACTGGGAGCGGAATTCCCGCGTCTCGGGCACCAGGGCGGGCGGTGTGGCGCTGATGGGAGACGGGCGGGAGTTGAGGCTGGGGCTCAGCGGGGCTCTCCCGCTGGGAGCTTGGCTGAAAACCACGACACACTGTCCCACCTGTGGGAGAGCAGGGAACAGGCATCAGGAGGAGCCTTGGTGCTGGGGAGAGGCGGTTACGGAGCGTTTGGGGCAGGGAATAAAGAGGGAGGGATGTGTGTGAGGGAGCAGGGACCCCGCTGTGTCCATACCCTGCAGGCAGGATGGCACCACAGCTCCGGGGCTCCGTGGTCCTCGTTCTCCACCTTGAGCGGCTGCCACGTCCAGGGGTTGGCCTGCATGTGCAGCAACCAGGCGTCTTTGAACAGCTGGGGAGGGAAGGGTCACGTTCAGGAGTCTGGGCTGGCATTCAGGAGCCCAGGCTGCATTTTAGAAGCCCAGGATGAGATTTAGCCCAGTTTACTGCTGGGATCAGCTCAGCAGGGCCATGGTGGGAGCGGTGCTTTGCTGCTGCAGACAGAGGATGCTGACCCAGAGCAGGAGCTGATCCCCCATGAGTGACTACACCCCACTATGGCCATGGATAAATCCCTTCATTGCCATCTGCTATCCCAGTACAAAGTCAGGGCTCATCCTGACAAGCCTCAGTGAACCCAGGGAGCTGCTCAGAGAGCTCCTGGGGTGATTTTTATTAATTAAAGCAGCTCCAGCAACAGCTAAACAGCTTCTCTGGAAAATCTAGCAGGTGGGTGCCCAGATTTGAGGAATAAAATGCCACCAACATGCAGAGTCCCCCCATCCCAAATCCAGCCCCCAGGTGCCAGGGGGATGGTGATGCCCCTGCTCCCTCAGGTACTCACTGCATTGGGACCCCCGCAGCCTCCCAGGATTAGAATGGTCTCGTTGTCTATCACGATCTGGAGGGGACAGAAGAGAGTTTCAGCCTGGGAAGGAGTTTTGGCCTGGCCTCCAAGGGCAGACAGAGGCAGGTTCTCGCTGCACGGGTGTTGCTGCGTTCTGTGTGCCCCGGGATGAGCAGTGGAGCTGGGATGGAGCCTGGCCCAGGACAGAGCGGGATGCAGGGCTCATCCCACCCCCTGTCCCAAACCAGTTCCTCTCTCCAAGGAGAGCAA